CAACGACAATAAATAGCCATCATTAAAAAACAGCGATAAAACTGAAAATTGCATAAACTTATTACGAAATTCTTTTAAGTTGAAATAATCTAAATCGCTACTTTGTGTGTGTGTGTGTGTGTTTCATAAAACTAATAGTATAGTTTTTCATCCATAAATATAGATATGCGACATATTTATAATTTTACATGTAAGATTATATATTAGATATTATTTTATCAAACCCTTTCAGATATTAAGTACTCACCGTTTTTTTCATCATGCATTTTATGAGTATATAATGGGAATTTGGTATTCATTAAATATGAACCATCTATGTTAATTCCGTTCTTCGTGCAGATAATATTTAATTCATATATATAATCTGATATAATCTGTTATGTGTATAGTATCAAAATCTTTTCTCGCGTTTTTGCAATTGTTTCCTTCTACAAAACTGTCATATAATTTTATGATAGTTCGATAATAAAACTTGATGAATTATTATATATTAAATGATCGATGTAATTATATATAATCTGCAGTCAATCCGAAAATATAAAAGGATTCATATAGTTGTTTGCAATTTATCAAAATTGAATTTAACATATTTGTTTTGCGATAAGAATAAATCTTTTAAAACTACGTATTTTGACAAATCCTGTGAAAATTCATTCGAACATGCATTTCTTGTGATCATGGTAAGTACCGCATTGGTGCACCTAGAATTAAATAGCGATACTATTTGAAAAATCTCATAATAATTTAAATTCAATAATAATTCTTATTATTTGGTGAGTCATACGGAGAAAATGGATTAACACTCTCTCCATATATATATAATCGTTTGTTTTTCTTCTGTATATTTTTGGATTGCCAACTCACAATTTTCCTCCACATTCCACAAGATTACTTTACCATCTATTTTCATACTAGATCATCTCTGTTCTTTATGTAAGAAATAAACTGAATTTTATAATATCAAGATGTTGTTTATGTGCAAGCTGATATAATCTTTTAATCACTAGTTTTAGTTATAATAAGAAATCTTTTTTTTTAATTATAAATGTGTCTGAAGTAATTTTTAAAAGTATTATCTACAATATAAAATTATAGTTAGCATATATTAATTAGTATATATAGTTCAAATTTTTTAAAGAATGTTTAAATTTAATCGAAAAATATTGGCATGTATTTAATAACGGTTGTTAAAGAATTTATTATATTTGTCTAACTATTTTTACTATAAACGATATTGCATATTATAGAATATTTCTCGCAAAAAATAAGAAAATTTGTTTTTATAATTTCTATAATAAATATTGTAATTTATTCAAAATTAAATTTTTATCAGATTTTTGCTATTTGTGAAAGATTACACTAGTTTACCGTAAAAAATGATTTTGAATTGAATTATATGTTTTTTACAGGTTTTTGTACGCTGAAAACGATGCTGCAAACCAAAAAGTTCCAGCACATCAGATTTTTCAAGATAATTATAGTTTAGTGTTCAAAAAGCAGACTTAGGAATGTTACCTTAAAAAAAATAATGCATTACCGTTAGTTAAAAATAATTTGTTACCAACTCGTTATTGGATAATTAGAAGTACACTTATAAAGATACGAAAGCGAAACATCTTTCAACGCCAACAATATCGAAATATTATTCAATCCGATACATCCCATAAAAATTAAAGTAACGATAAAAGTAACGACTGAATTGTTATTGTTACTACAAAAATATAATAATCATTATCGAAAAAATGTAACGAAAAAAAATAACGGCGTTACCAATAACGCATTACTTTCCAACTCTGCCAAAAAGTGATTTATTTGACATTGTTTTGTAAGAAAAATTAACGTTATCTTGAAATTTAAAGTCATAAATGCATTATTCATTCTCTATAAAATGCATTTTCTTTTATTTTAATATCTTATTTTTTTAGCTATATTATAAAAGATTGAAATGCAGGGTTTCTCTAAGATAGCAAATTTTCCGTCTACAATGATGAAGATCTTTTATCTGAAATATTTTTTTTAAATATATTTTTTCGAGATATTTGAGGTGAGCAATTAAAATGAAACACTTCTTGTGTATATGTATATGTATATACGTATATGCATATACATTAGCGGAATCTATAAATTACACTGTGTATTGATAATCACAAATATATATTAATAAGTATAAAATATATATTTATAAGTATATATGACATATATAATTCATCTTCATAAGCGGAAAATTTGCTATCTTAGAAAAACTTTGTAATTGAAATCTCTTTATAATATAGCAAAATATTGACATAAAAGAAATGCATTAGGTATAGAGGATAGACAGTATACATGACTTCTGATCAGAATTTCAAGATAATGTTAACCTTTTTTACGAAAAATCAAATATCACAAAAATCTATTTTTTGTACATTAAATGTGAATTATTTTGGAAACTTGACGTGCTAGTGAAATTTAATTTGCGGCATTGTTTTTGTTATCCAAAAATCTATAGGAAGCTTGTATCCTTCAAAGTAATTGAAAAAAAAAACATTTATATGACATTCTAACACTGTTTATTTTATAAATAATTATCTTACCTTATATTTCCGTTCATAATTAATGCCGATGCTTTATAATATCTTATAAATATAAATTCTAAAAAGAAGGCAATTATAGAGGCAGAATAAAAAAGGAAGATGATATAGGCAAGAATGTGAAATAATTTATTAAACCGTTTACCCAAGTTTAGATTGTAGAGAAAGCATACGTTTATTTACATAGTATATAAATATTATTGTCAATTTTTGAAGAACAAGATTAATAAATAAAAGTTAACCCCTTGCGATGAGAAAATATATTAAAATATCGTACTTTTAAATTATCTTCGATTATTTATTAAATATTAAATAATATTCATTTACGTAACTTATAACGTTGATGCGTTTCATGAAATTTTACAAAAAATGCTATTTTTTGTGACTGTATCTTTTGAATTACACATACTAAATATAAATTATTTCTTCTATATATATAAACGCAAGGAGTTAATAGAATAGCGATTTGTAGCCCTGTACATGCCTCGTAAT